TGGAGGCAGAGTGGTGGCTGACGCAGGACAGGCCACCAGACCCGTATGTGTGTGAATCTCCTCTCGGCCGTCCTCGTGCTTGGGCAGCTTGCTGAGCCTCATTTTACAGTTCAGTAAAATAATGCGGAGGACTAAGAACGGGAGAGCTTCTAGTCGAGTATGTGACACGGGTAGGGTGTCTTCCCATCTACCTTTCCCCAGCAGCCACGCCAGACCTCGGAGAGGTTCCAGCAATGGGCAGGAGTCTGACTCTGTCCCCGAGTGTGGTGTGGGGATTCCTCTCTTCCCGCTAGCTGCCTGGCCCGCTGACCCCGGGAGGGAGACGATGGTTTCCCCCGCCAAGACTGTTGATGAGGGCCTTGATGGCCCAGAGGCTTCCGCGCATCACATGAGGGGCTGCACCCAACCAGTACCCAGAGTAGCTGAATCTGGGGTGAGACCACTCTTTGACTTAGTCCACAGGAACTCAGAGGCCTCAACCTAAACCCCCTCAAGGTATTAAGGCATCCATTCCCTCTCCTGTCAAGTGGGACTCCCAGGCCCTCCCTTGCCTGGGGGATCGGCACCCAGGACCCTCCGGGTGTAAGGAGCAGCCCAACCGTCTGACAAGGGTTGCAGAGTCTTTGCCTTCAGGGATGTCCAGCCTCGCGGAGACACGAGGAGGCATCCATCACCTTGCAAAGAGATCAGAGACTCCAGAGCTCCTCCAGGCAGGGGCAGGGGCGTCATGGGTGTTCCGCCTGTGACAGTGAGGGGCAGGGCTGAGGCAGGGAGGCCCGGAGCCCCCTGGAGGAGGCTGGGGCCTCTGGGACTAGTGGGGCCTCAGGAGCACCCGAATCTGGGCTTTTCACACTGTCCCGAGGCCTGAGTAAGAGGAAGCGGTGGTTTCCAGGCCCTGCCACTGGGTTAGAACCTTGTCAGCAGCTGGGTCCTGGAGGAGGTTTGGATGAGCACAGAGAGGGCCTCCGGGGGCTGGCAGCAAGGGCAGAACCGGAGGTAGGACAGCAGTCGCTCCGTGGGATGCAGAGAGGAGCAGCCGGGCTGCTGCAGAGTTAGGGGCTGGTGGATGCAGGCAGGGCTACCCAGCCTTGCCCTGGGCCTGAGATGGCAGAACCTAGAACCGACACAGTGCTGGCTGCATGCAGGGCTCCGGGGGTATCTGTCAGCTCCTGGGTGACGGACCTTAAGAAAAGGGGGCTGCAGGGATTGCCAAGCCTGCTACCTCCCCTGCTCCATTTCCCATTCTGCACGTGGGAAACCCGAGAGGCCAGGCCCAGCTCTGCCGCCCGAAGGGAGGAAGCGGTGTCCTGGCCTCCTCTCCATCAGTCGCCACCGGCCACGGGGCCAACTCACCTTTCACCTCCATGGCCCGAGCTCCTCCTGGGACTTCGGAGAGGAAACAGCTTGCTGCCCCACCCGCCCTTGCGACATGGACAGGCCTCCTGGCCCTGGGCCTGGCCGTGTGCCCAGGTCTGGGTCTCAGTTTCTCCGTCTGTGAGGGCAAGGCTGTGTCAGCTCACGTCCTTCCAGCTCCAAGGTGGTACCATCCTGACTTGGGCTGGAGTGCGGAGAGGGACAGGCCGGAGCCCGGAGCTGGGGTGGGAGAAGCAGAGAGGAGGGAGCTCTGGCTCGCCCTCGGACCAGGAGCTGCTTTTGTGGCGGGGGCCAAGTGTGACCCTCGTGAGGTGTCGAGCTGCCAGCGAGAGGGCAGGCTGCTCAGAGGCCTCGGGCCGCCCAGGGGTACCAGCAGGGCCATGGGCAGGGGCGTGTGCCCACGGGACGAGGGAGAGGTTTGCAGGGGAGACTTCGTGCACTTTCTGGCACCCACCACGCTTCCCCTTCCTCTCGCCGACTTGCTGCCAGAACAGTCCCAATTCCTGTGGACTTTCTTAAATCGCATCCAGAAAAGAAAAGGAAAAGAGAAAAAGGGGGGAAAGAGGGTTGTTATTTGTGAAAATTGCATTTCCCAGCCGTGAGGGTGACTCACGCATTTGGAGCTTCAAGTTTCTGTTTGGATGAACTTTTCTCTGGGAGGCTGGGCCGGGCTGCCCTGCCTCAGGCCAGCGGCTGGGGAGAGTCCTAGAGTCCATCTGAGGAGAGATCCGACAGCCGGAAAGTTCAGGTGCTCCCTCAGGTGACGCTGGGCTGGTTGTACTGAACTGCCCGGGGGAGCTTTCAAAAGGCAAACTCGAGCCCAGACAGCACAGCTCAGTGGCTGAGCCCTGACCTATGAACCAGGAGGTCACGGTTTGATTCCCGGTCAAGGCACATGCCCGGGTTGCAGGCTCGATCCCCAGTGTTGGGCATGCAGGAGGCAGCCGATCCGTGATTCTCCCCCATCATGGATGTTTCTCTCTCTCTCCCTCTCCCTTTCTCTCTCTGAAATCAATAAAAATGTGTTAAAAAAAAAAATTATCCAAATGCTAGATGTTATGCGTGTATCGTTTAGCACAATAACAAGAGCAGAGCCCAGGCCCTCAGCCCCAGGTGGCCGCTTTGCTAGGTTTGAAGCAGGGCCCAGAGAACTGCATTTGTGAAAAGTTTCCCAGGCCATTCAATACAAGCTGGCACATCCTCATCTGATCTGTAAAGGGCGACAGTGACTCATCGGGCTGTGAGCATCAGCTGTCTTAACATGTGTGAAGTTTTCAGGGCTCGGTCCAAAGTAGGGGCTCAGTGATCATCTCAGTGATCATCTCACCCCATTCCCACCGGAGCCCTCCCATAGCCCTAAGGTGGTTCCGTACTGGCTCCCACCACCCAGGGATGGGGACCTTCCGTTTCTCAGGGTGCACCACCCCATCTTGGGCCACCTGAGGCCTGGAGAGCTGCCCTCAGACCTGCGGGGTTGGGCGGTGTCTTCCACTGGCCCAGGGTGGCATGGTAGCACTGGGCAGTGGCAGAGCAGAGATGGCCATTGGGAGCCTTCGAGTTCCGTGCCAGTGGCTGGAGGCGACTGTGTGGGGCCTGGGCTGCCTGGGACATGGTCTGTGTCTTCCCTTCTAGGCCTAGGCTCCAGGGCAGACCTGCCTGAGGGAACAGAGGCTCAGAGAGGGGGGCCCGGAGGGGGTCCAGAAAAGGGTAGCACTCAGATGGTGAGACTATGTCCTCTAGAAGGGGAGTCCAGACCCCAGAGATGGAACATGTAGGGAGGCTGAGGTAGACAAGAGTGAGCAGTGGGGTCTGTCCTGGTTGTGGGGGTGCCTGCTCCCTTGGGGCGGCTCTTAGCTCACCTCCTTCCCCTTCTCACATTGAGGGGGACACAGAAAGGACCCCGCCACCCTGGGCCGCAGTCTGCCTCAACTTATTGTAGTAAGGGAGCTGGAGGCAACTTCCCCTCAGGCCTCTTCTCGCCCATCAGCCCGGGGGCTCCTGAGAACAGGCCGTGTCTCTCCGTTAGACCCAAGGCCCCCCGAGGTCACCATTCACTCCCGGAGTTCTCGGGCACCTGAGCTGGGGTCAGGGTGCCCAAGCCCGTGCCCAGGCCTGTCATTGACCCTCCTGAGAAAGCTGCCTCTTTCCAGCCTTGGCCTTGACCCAGGAAAGGGAGCCATGGCCTCACCGCAGGCCCCACCTTCACCAAATTCCAGTGTGCCTGGCCGCGGAGCGGGGACTCCTATAAATAGAGGGTGTATACAGCAGGAGGCGGCCTGGGCCTCGTCTGCTTTGAAGCCAGGCGAGACATCTGGCTCCTGTCAGCTGGAGGTGGGAGAGGTGGGAGAGGTGAGAGAGGCGGGCCCCTTCTCCCTGGCTCCCAGAGAGCCAGCCGGGCCAGGCCCTGGGCTCCCCAGACACCGTCTGCACAGGCCTGGTGCTGCCGGAGACCCGGCAGAGCGCTGGCTCTCTGCCCGCTGGAAACCATGCTGCCCCGACGTTCCGCTTCCTTACAAGTGGAGTCAGCTCTGACATACGGCCGTGGCCGGCCAACTGTGGCTCACGAGCCACATGCAGCTCTTTGGCCCCTTGAGTGTGGCTCTTCCACAAAATACCACGGCCTGTGCGAGTCTATTTTGAAGAAGTGGCGTCAGAAGAAGTTTAAGATTAAAAAATTTGACTCTCAAAAGAAATTTCAATCGTTGTGCTGTTGATATTTGGCTCTGTTGACTAATGAGTTTGCCAACCACCGACATAAGGGACTTGTCTCCAGCCCTCCACCCGTGAGGGGCAGAGCCGGTAACCCAGCAGGTGGTTCTCTGCTGACTTGCCTATCTCCAGGCAGTGGGAGGAGAACTAATGGTAATAATAACTCGCATTGTCGCCCTAACCAGTTTGCTCAGTGGTTAGAGCTCAAGGGTCCCAGGTTCGATTCCAGTCAAGGGCATGTACTGTGGTTGCGGACACATCCTCAGTAGGGAAGTGTGCAGGAGGCAGCTGATCGATGTTTTCTCTCATTGATGTTTCTAACTCTATCACTCTCCCTTCCTCTCTGTAAAAAAAAAAATAAATAAATAAATAAAAAAATAATAATAATAATTCGCATTGTCATCGCCATCACCATCCTCTACCAACCGTGTGGTTTCAAGTGCCATACGTTTGTGACTTCCTGTTATCTTCTAGAAACCCTAGGAGACAAACATCATTATTCCTGTCTTCCAGACGGCCACTGTGGCCCAGGTTGGCTAACTGGTTTGCCCATGGACCCACGACTAGATTTGGGTTTGAACCTAGGCTCCAGGAGGCCTGAGCTTGTGGGCATCGGGGTCGTTGTGAATTTGTGTGTGTGTGAATGCGCGGGCCCACGGACATGCCCTGGCCCGGGCTGTGACTGAGTGTGTCAGGCCTTCTGCATCATTGTGAGTGTGTGTGTGTGTGTGTGAGTGCGTGGGCCCATGGCTGTAACTGAGTGTGTCAGGCCTTCTGCGTCGTTGTGAATGTGTGTGTGTGTGTGTGTGTGTGTGTGTGTGCGCGCGCGCGTGTGGGCCCATGGACATGCCCTGGCCGTGGCTGTGACTGAGTGTGTCAGGCCTCTTGAGCCCTCACAGCCTCTGTCCCCCCCACAGGCCCTGAGCAGCAGCGTGTACAAGAGCGCCTCGCCCTACGGCTCCCTCAACAACATCGCCGACGGCCTCAGCTCCCTCACCGAGCACTTCTCCGACCTGACCCTGACCTCTGAGACCCGGAAGCCCAGCAAGAGGCCGCCGCCCAATTACCTGTGCCACCTGTGCTTCAACAAAGGACACTACATCAAGGACTGCCCCCAGGTAAGGCAGCCTGGCCCGGGGCGGCCCGTGGGCCCCTATGCCCTGTGGGCAGCTCCTGTGGATGGGCAGCCCTGCTCTGCCCCCTTCCAGGTCTCCATCTTCCTGTCCCCTCCGGTATTCCTGAGCAGGCCTGGATGGTGTGAGTGGGGAGGAAGCCCAGCGTGGACCTGTTCTAGTTAGGTTGCAGTCTGGGTGGGGGGACCCCAAAATGAGGTTTTTGGACCTTACAGTCCCTACCCATGTTCCTGCCAGGGTGGGTCCTGTTACCACGAGGCGTGAGGTGGGACAGGGGCCAGCAGCCTCCTCACAGCTCTCTCCTGAGACCCCAAAGCCTCACACTCACAAGGAAGGAATGCGGGCGCTGGGCCAGGAATCCAGATGTGCGCCCCTCCCCCAGGCCCACCTCTGCCTGCTCTGTGCCAGGCTTCCTCCTCAGCCTGCAGCTCGGAGGGGGCTGCCCCACCAGGGGGCTGGTGAAGGCGCTGTGGGGGGAGGAAAGGGGAGTAGGAGATTGGGGGTCTCTCATCAAATGCTTCGCCGAGTCAGGGTGGGGCCCTGGGGCAGCTCCCACCCACGAGGTGAGCCAGAATCCGGGGGAGGGAGGTCATCAGTTGTTTTAAATATGGTGCAAGATTATCAGTGATTTCCCCCCATTATTTTTTCATATTTTCCAGTGTTTTTATGATGTGGTACTACTTACTCTGTGTATGTAATGGAAATGGAATCCTGTAAACTCAAAAAACCCATGCTGTCTCACCCTCCAGATGTTGGAAGCCGAGGGCATGGCTGGGTGGGGCTGGCCCCGCAGGCAAGGGAGGCTGAGATGTGCTTCTCGCTCACCACTCCCTGCGCCCCGTCCCCCTGCTTCCCGCACCGCCAGGCGTGGCCCGTCAGTGCAGCCTGGGAGCAGGGAAAAGCCCAGACACGCAGGCCTCCCTCGGCCCTGGGCACTGTAGTGAGACCCCCTCCCTGTGATTCATGTCAGGGGCCTTGGCCTCCATCGGCCCCGGGCACGGGAGGCCCTCCCTGGCTCCTGAGTAGGGGCAGCTGACCCACGGTGGCCGCTCTCCAGATCCACATCGCATGGGCCTGTCTTCCCCTCAACACGGAGTCTGCAGGGCCCTGGCCCGAGATCTCAGCGGAAGGGGAGGCCCCGCCCTCCAGGGCCAGACGAACAACTGAGGACCCAGTTGGTCAGAGTTGTGCCCGTGGCCCACCCAGGGACAGCACCCCCTAGGGCCCTCCCCAGCTGAGCCCCCCGCAGAGGGGTTCTCTGCTCTCAGTCACGCACAGCAACACCTCAAAACCTCCCTCCATCCTGCCCGCCTGCAGCCTGGGAGGGGGCAGAGTAGGACACAGGCATTGGGATGAGTGGTCCTCCAGCATCATCTCATTCAGTCTCAGAACTACCCAGCATGCCAAGTGCTCCATTAGCCTCATGCTACCTGATGCTTCTTGTGAGTCAGGGTTAGCACAGGACTACTGACCTGGAGGATCCAGGAATTTATCCCCTCCCCCCAGGTGGTGACAGTCAGACGTAGGGCCGAGGAGGTGTGCTCACGCTGGGCTCAGCCTGGGAAGGCCTCCAGGAGAAGGAGGGCTTGAGTGGGGCTGCCAGGTTGATGGGAGAAGAGCGGCAGGTCCTCTCACAACATGACCAGTATCCCAAGGCAACGGGGTGGTGAGCCAGAGGTGGGGGCTGGGGCAGGGCCTGTGTGTGTGTGTGTGTGTGTGTGTGTGTGTGTGTGTGTGATCACACTGCCCTCTCCAGACAGGGCCAGGGCTCTTCTAAATGTGGGCAGGGGGTCCCTGCCCTTGGTGCTTCTCTTGCCAGCGCAGGGCTAACCTGGTTCTTCCTTTGTGTGGATTAAACGGGGTGTGTTCACTTACCTTGTGCACGGCTCTTAACACTCTGGCAGAATTCGGAGTGATAGCCCCATTTTACAGCTGAAGAAACAGAGCCCCAGGGAGGTGGAGTGCTGAGGAGAGGGCAGGGAATGTGGGCACCCCAGTCTTGGGAACTTTGTGCCCTTTGCCTCCCAGAGTACCCGTGCCACCAGGTGAGACACCCATGGCCTGTGGAGCCTCAGTTTCTCCCTTGAACAGGCAGAGGCCCCCTTCTGGCCCATCACAAACCTGCTTCTACCTGGGACTCCTGCAGGCCCAAGGACCGCCCTCCACCCTTCACAAGAGGTGGAGGGCAAAGGCTGGAAATGTCCATTTCATCATCGTAAAGGGAAGCCAATGAGGACACTAACTCATGGGATTGTGAGGACCCAATGAAAGTGCTTAGCGCAGTGCCTGGCACACAGTGGGCATTTAATACATGTTGGCCAGCATTCTTTTTCTGCTGTTGGTCACTACACCCTCCCGGCAAGGTACTAGGTATTTTGGCAGGCTGGAATGTGGTTGGATGCTCCCCAGTCCTCACCTGATTACACGCTCAGGGGCAGTGCTGGGATAGATTTGGCTCTGTACCCCTCACTGTCTGACCCCCATGCCAGCCCAAGAGCTCACACACAGCAGGTGCTCAGCACAAACCTTCCTGCATGAAGGGATGTGTGAAGAAGGCTTTTGTAAGGCCTGGAAATCTTTGCTCAAACAAAATATTATAAATATCTCAGAATATGTAATATTTAAAAGTGGAATGCTTATTTTGGTAATAACTAATGAGATATAATTTACTTACCATATAATTTACCCATTTAAAGTGTACAATTCAGTTATAGAACATTTTCGTCACCTCAGAAAGGAACCTCACACTCTTTAGCTGTCACCCTCTGTTCCCCGGCCTCTAGGAAACCATTAATCTACTTTCTGTCTCTATAGATTTTCCAATCCTTAACACTTCATATAAATAGAATCATATACTATGTGGTTTTGGTGCCTAAATTCTTTCACTTAAATATAATTTTCAAGTTTCATTCATCAGTTCCCAATTTCGGAAGTATTCCATTCTCTTTTTCTGGAAGATTTTGTGAGAATTAATATTAATTCTTTCTTAATTGTTTGATGAGATTCATCTGTGAAAGCATCAGAGCGTGGGCTTTCTTTTGTGGGTAGGTATTTTAAATTACTGGTTCAATCTCTTCTCTTGTTACAGGTCTACTCAGATTTTCTATCTCTTCTGGAGTCAGTTTCTGTAGTTTGTATCTTTCTTGGACATAAATTATACATACAGTTGTTCACACTATTCTATTATAATTCTTATATCTGTAATCTTGGTATTAATGTATACCTCTTTCATCTTTGATTCTGGTAATTTGAGTCTTTTCTTTTTTTCTTGGTCAAGCCAGGTAAAGTTTTGTCAATTTCGTTGAACTTTTCTAAGAACCAACATTGGGTTTAGTTACTACTTTACTCTATTATTTTTCTATTTTCTATTATATTGCTTTCCAGTTTATTCTTTTAGAAATTATGGCAAAATACAAATAAATAAAATTTACCATCTTAACCATTTTTCAGTGTATAGTTCAGTGGCATTAAGTACATTCACATTATTGTACCACCATCTACAGACCTCTTTTCATCTTGCAAAACTGAAACTCTGTCCCCATTAAGCAATAACTCCATCTCTTTCTCTCCCCCAGCTCCTGCACCATTTTGCTTTCTGTCTCTGTGAATTTGACTACTCTAGGAACCTCTTATAAGTGGAATCATTCAGTATTTGTCCTTTTGTAACTGACTTATTTCACTTATACTAGTAATGTCCCCAAGGTTCATTCACGACATAACATGTGACAAGATTTCCTTCCTTTAATTTTATATCCTTACCCGAGGATAAATTTTTATTGATCTTAGAGACAATGAGAGAGGGAAAAGAAGGAGGAGAGAGATATGAGGGAGATGCACCAATGGGTTGCCTCCGAACACATCCTGATCAGGATTGAACCACAACCTTTTGGTGCATGACAACACTCCAACCACTGAGCCATCTGGCCAGAGGAATTTACTTCTCTTTTTAAGGCTGAATAATATTTGTGTGTGTGTGTGTGTGTGTGTGTGTGTGATTACCATGTTCTGTTTATCCATTTATTCATTAATGAAAAACTGGAATGTTTCCACCTTTTGGCTATTGTGAATAATGCTATAATGGACATGGGTATACAAATATTCTTCTGAGTCCTTGCTTTTAAGTCTTCACTCTAATCGTTGTAGTTCTTTCCTTCAGCTTGCTTTGAATTTATTTTCTCTTTCTATTCCTATTTTCTCTTTCTAGTTTCTTGAAGTGGAAGGTTGGGTGACTGACTTTGCATTCTTTCTTCCTTCTCATATGTACAGCACATCATCCTTGGATGTGCCTTCACTGTAACATCGAGGAGATGCCATCGAAAGTTGACTCCTGTATGTACCAATGAGCCCGAGATGAAATTGGCTTTGTTACTCGTGTCTCACTTAGAGTCACGTAACCCCACCAACGACGTTGATGTTCACAACTGCACGTTTTCCTCCGAGCTGCATGCTGTAGGTTTTGGAATGGCCTATCTTCATTTTAACTTATCCCAGGGTGTTTTCTGATATCCCTTTTCCTTTTTGTGACCCACTGGTGATTTAGTAGTGTGTTGTTTAAAATCCACATATTTATGAGCTCCCCAGTTACCTTTTTAAAACGACTTCTAATTTTGTTCTAATGTGGTCACAGAGCACACTTTATGTTATTCCAATGCTTCTAACTTGACTGTGGATTATTCTGTGGCCTGGCATGTGGCTGCCTTGGAGGACAGTGCGTGCTCTGGAGAAGAATGTGGCTGCATTGTTGGGTGGGACGTTCTATAGAAGTCCGCTAGGTCTGCTTGGTTGATAGTGTTGTTCGCATCTTCTGAAACCTGACATTCCGCCTGCTTCTCTGTCAGTATAGTAGGTAAGGGTACTGAAAACTCTATTATTGTTTAATTGCCTAATTTTTCTTCAATTCTGCCTTTTTTTTTTTTTTTTTTTTTTTTTTTTTGCTGCATGTATTTTGGTGCTCTGTTATTAGGTACATTTATGTTGTAATTGCA